TAGGGAGTAGAGCAGGAACCTGGAGCTGTGGGCATAAGCCTTCAGAGTGGCTCTAGCCAGCAAGAACTGCATATTATCAGGGAGACTAGTTGGCCTCATCTGCAAAATGGAAACAATAATGCCTATCTTCCTGGGTCGGTTTTTGTTTTGCTTTTGTAGCTTTAATGGGATGTAATTCACATAGTGTGTAATTCACCCATTTTTTTTAAGATTTTACTTTTTATTTGAGACAGAGAGGTACAGAGAGAGAGGGAGCATGAGCAGGGGGAGAGGCAGAGGGAGAGGGAAAAGCAGGCTCCCCGCTGAGCCAGGAGCCAGACGTGGGGCTTGATCCCAGGACCCTGGGATCATGACCTGAGCTGAAATCAAGAACTGGATGCTTAACCGACTGAGCCACCAGGATGTCCCACAATTCACTCATTTAAAATGCACCGTTCAGTGGTCTTTTTAGTATATTCACAGAGTTGTACAACAATCCCCACATTAGCTAAAGAACATTTTTGACATCCCCACAAAAAAAAGCCCCACCTCTATGATCATTTTCTCCCCAGTTTTTTCCACAACTCTCTCCCAACCCTAACCAACCACTAATCTACTTTATCTGTAAAGATTTGCCTATTCTGCACATTCCATATACATGGCATCATACCATCTATGGCCCATTGTGTCTGGCTTCTTTCCCTGAGTGTCATGTTTTCAAGTTTCATTCATGCTGTAGCCTGTGTCAGTACTTTATTCTTTTTATGGCTGAATAGTATTCCATTGTATGGATTTATCACATTTTGTTTGTTCATTCATTTATTGATAGATACTTGAGTTGTGTCCATATTTTGGCTATTATGAATTATGCATCTATGAAATTTCATACACAAGTTTTTGTGTGGACATGTCCAGGGTGTTTGGAAGATTGAATGAAGTGGTATCTAAGGTATCTGATATGCCCTTCACCAAATGAAGAATCTTAGAATCTCAAAGGGATGTGCCTAGGGCACCAAACTCCTATTAAGAGTCTTTAATCAGGGGTGCCTGGGTGGCTCAGTTGGTTAAGCGACTGCCTTCGGCTCAGGTCATGATCCTGGGGTCCCTGGATCGAGCCCCGCATCGGGGCTCCCAGCTCGGCGGGGAGTCTGCTTCTCCCTCTGACCCTCCCCCCTCTCATGTGCTCTCTCTCTCTCTCATTCTCTCTGTCTCAAATAAATAAATAAACTCTAAAAAAAAAAAAACCAAAAAAAAGAATCTTAGAATCTGCCCCGACTCCTTCAATTTACAGATTAGGAAACTGAGGCACAGAGAGGAGCAGAGACTTGCTCGAGGTCACCCAAGGCAGTAGATAGAGCATAGGGCTTAATTGCATATCCCTGCGTCAGAATGCCCAGAACCAGATCTGGGTTCCACTTGGACTTGGGTCACCTTATGTAAGTCACCTCACGTCTCTGATCCTCAGCGTTTTCATGTGGAAATTGAGGATAGTAAGAGTATCTACCTCATATGATTGTTGATGTGAGAATGGAATGTGCTAGCCCATGTGTCTGGCACAAGGTAGGTGCTCTGCAAATCTCAACTGTTATCACTCATGGCCGCACTAGATGTGGACCTCAAGTCTCCTGGATCCCAGGTGTAAGGTGTCTTGAATCTACACTTCCCCACTTCCTTTCCCTGTATGGTGGGCATCTTCCCAGAGCGATTATAAGTTCCTTGGAGGAAGGAGATATGACTTGCTCTCTCCACTGCCCAGAGCATATAAGAGGTGCTGAATGAGTACTTCTGCTCACTTTCTTTGGCTCTCCCAAACCCTGGCCTTCACCAGGTGATCCAGCTAGGAGCTATGGTAGGTGTTAATTCTCTACATCTTTCCAATGCTCCCTGCACTGACTAAATGTGTCTTCCTTCCAGGCAGCGGACAGTGTGCCGCCATGGAGTTGGGGTCTCTAGAAGGCGGGTACCTGGAGCTTCTCAACAGCAGTGCCGATCCCTTGCAGCTCTACCACCTCTATGACCAGACGGACCTGGCTAGAGAAGAGATTGAGCTCTGCTCAGGTGGGCTCTCCTCCCTCTGGCCCCTCCCAAGTCCTTCCTCACCCCCCTCAGCCTGCGGTGGAGACAGTCAGCAACTGGGCGACGTTCTGGCCGCTGAACTCTGGTCAGCACCGCGGACAGCTCCAAACGCTTGTTTGCTTTCCAAAGGGGAGTTCTCCCAGCCCCGCCCCGCCTCCTTCCTTCCCCACCAGCCCTCTTCCCAAACCTTTCCTGCTTCATCCATGGGGCTTTTCCCTCCAGAACCCGACATGGACACCATCAACTGCGAACAGTTCAGCAAACTGTTGTGTGACATGGAAGGTGATGAAGAGACCAGGGAGGCTTATGCCAATATCGGTGAGGAAGCATTCTGAACCCAGAAAAGGGCCAGTTGAGGGGAAGAGTTCCTTTTTCTCTTTTGGTAACCTCACCCATTCACCACAAGCCACAGCAGTCTCCTCCCTCATAAATTAGGGCAAGGGGGATGCAAAGCAAGGGCTAGAAAAGAGACCCCAGGGAAGAAGGGAGATTGACCCCTTGGCCAATGACCACCAGGCAAAAAAAGTCTCACTTTTGTATCCTCTGCCTCCAGTTCTGTATCTTTTTATATTTCTTGCTCTTCTTTACTTCCTTCCACACAGCCCATACCATATACCCCTCCCTGTCTTCTCCCTAGCTCCTAAGCCAGACTACTCTAGTATTTGTAATACCTACCATTTGGGCGCACTTGTTGCATGCAGATCACTGTATGTGTGTTATTGCATTGAATCCTTACAACAACAAAGGAAGTAGATCCTATTAGTATCTCCGTTTTATGGAGGAGGAAATCGAGGCTTAGAGAGGTAAAACAGTGTACCCAAGGCTGCATTAGAGATAGTAATGGGCAGCTCTGAGATTCAAAGCTAGGTCTTTCTCATTTCAAAGTCCTTATTTTTAACCACGAAAAGGAAAGAGTCTAGGGTGGAGAGGTTCTCTAAGGCTTAAGCTGAGAGGCTGATTTGCAGGTTTAAAAAGGGCTACTATTTTCAGATAAGGGCAGAACTCTTTGGAGAGATGTGTTGCTGTTGGTTTTTGTTTTTGTTTTTTGGAGGGGAGTGGGGTAAAGGCTCCCTCCTCACCACTATCTCATACAGAGGCTCTGTTGAATTAGAAAAAGATGCCCCTTTTTCTGGAGGATGCAGCCCCCATTTGTCCTCTTGCTGGGCACCCTTGTGCAGTGAACAACCTGTACAACCGTTTTTCGTGGCCTTTTTCCTGGTAACCCAAGAACCACATCACTCAGGAGGTCTGTGCTTAACGTGAATGTGGCCAGTCTTTCCCCAGTGCACAGTTAATCCTGCAGCACACAAAGTGGAAAATGGAGAGTAGTAACTATGTGTCTCAAAAATTACAGAACTGAGAAATCTGCCCACTTCCTTTCCTTCTTGGGAACTTACTTGAGGAAGCAGAAGTGTTTGGTGCTGAGGGCATTCATATTCCTCACAACTGGAGGCAGTGATGAAGGATTTGAGCATTACTTAGGATTTAGGGGCTTTTCACTTGGGGGCATCTACACAGGAAGTGGAAGCTGCCAAAGAAAGGTGAGGCAGAAGCTTCATCCAAATCTGTTGCTCAAGTCTGTGGGCTTTCTCTGTGCTTCTAGAAAGCCAGGCTCTGGCCTGAGCATCCAGTCATTTGAGGCATCTTGAAATATGTCTAGAAAATGGCTTCCATATGTGCATAGTGGGTGTAATAATCACACCCGCCTCATGGGATGGCTGAGGTTTGGATGAGTTTCTATGTGTAAAGTGTTTAGGAAAGGAATTTGCAAAGAGTAAGTTAGGCACCCCCCTCCACGACCACCATCACCATCGTCATAGTCATCATGGTCACTGCTCCCCTTTTATGGCTCTCCATTGCTGATAAAATCAACCCTACCTTTCCCCCAGCATGAAACTTCCCTGCGGACACCTGTCTCTGAGTTTTTCAAACACTTTCCTCACTCTGTCCTCACTGCCCGAAGCCCTCCACTTCCCATCTCTCTGACTGTGACCATCTTTCAAGGCCTGGCTCCAGGATCCCTTCCCTCAGGAGCCCTCCCTGACAGACCTGCGCCACCATACACTCTTTCCTCTGACCTCTTGCCATGATAGCTGTCTTCCCCTGGGCTCCAAGTCATGTACCACTTTATATAATTAACCACTATTTAGTAAGTGCTTTTGGTGTCCTAGCTACTATTTTTGATGCTTTAACTTAGAGGTGGAGCCTCTAATCCTCACCATCCATCCCTGGGCTGCAGGCATTTTTTGTTCTCATTACACAGATGAGGCCGTGGAGTCCCAGAGAGGTTAAGCAGTTGGTCCAAGTTTGCACAGCTAGTAGGGTTAATGGGGGTTAGAGCTGGGATTTAAACTTAAAGCCCGTGACAACTCTACCACACTGCATTGTACTACTTGACAGCGATAGTTAAGTTTTCATGGATGCATATCATCCCTTCAATTAGATTAAGAGCCCATGAAGGTTCAGGGTTCCTTCATTAATTTGATCATTCATTCAGCAAACGCTGATTGAGCACCCCCGTGTGTGCCAAGGCTGGAGGGTCACAGTTCCCTGGTACCTACCCCAAGACCAGGCACACAAGAGGTGTTCAGAAAACTCATGGACTGACTGTTCTTTTCCTTGTCTGGGCAGCGGAACTGGACCAGTACGTGTTTCAGGACTCCCAACTGGATGGTCTGGGCAAAGACATTTTCAGTAAGTTGGGGGATTCTTGGCTCAGCCTGCGTTTCCTTCCTTGTTCCTTGGGGAGCATCATAATACCTGATGACCACCCTTTGAAGGGCAGTCAGATCCCACCCCAACATAGGGACAATGAAGGCTCACTTTGGGCATCCACTGACTACGTGTTGGTGTCTTTTTTTTTTTCCTAAGTTGAGCATATAGGATTGGAAGAAATGATCAGCGAGAGTGTCGAGGTGCTGGAGGAAGCAGGGCAGAAAAGTCAGAAAAGACGTGAGTAAGCCCCTCTCTGATCTGACCTCGGCCTGCTTGACTCCTGGCCCTGCCTTGGCTCCAGAGCCTCCTGTGGCTCCCAGTGGCTTCCCTTGTTAAGTCCTGTCTGCTCTGCCTGGGTTTGGACGTTCTACCCCTCACTCCCCTCACTGCTGTTCCCTGGTGACCCAGGGAAGAAGCAGACAGCCCAGGTGCTAATGGCCATTCTCCAGGTGTGTCTCTGCCCCTGGCTGTCTTGATTGCCATTTCCCAAAGGCCATTTGGGCTCTGGCTTCTCTTTCATCCTTAGTTGTCACCCCTGTATTTGAGGGAGGTGTCTTTAACCATAGATTCTGGAGTCAGCAAGAACTGGGTTTGAGTCCTGGGTCTGCTATCTATGGGTTGTATGGCCTTGAGCAAGTGCTTATCCCTCTCTGAGCCTCCTATTCTGTCTCCGTTTCTCCTTAATCTGTCCTTACTGGCAGTCCCTATGAGCTTTTAAATGCAAATCAGATCATTCTGCTGTCCTGTTAAAGCTCCAAGGACTACAGGGGCGCCTGGGTGGCTCAGTCGGTTAAGCGACTGCCTTCGGCTCAGGTCATGATCCTGGAGTCCCGGGATCGAGTCCCGCATCGGGCTCCCTGCTCGGCAGGGAGTCTGCTTCTCCCTCTGACCCTCCCCCCTCTCATGTGCTCTCTCTCAAATAAATAAATAAATAATAAAATCTTAAAAAAAAAAAAAAAAGCTCCAAGGACTACAAAATATATACACAAGGCCTATATGATCTGGTCCTTCCCACCTTTCCAAGCTTGCCCTGGGCCAGGACATTCCAGCCACACTGGCTTCCTACCGTTCCTAGAACTCACGTACCCTTCCCAGCCTCCAGCCTCGGGGCTCTTGCACTTGCAGTTCTATCTGGAATGCCCTTTTCCCAGTTCTTCCCATTGCAGGCTCCTTTGAATCCTTGAGGTCTTGGCTAACCTGTCACCTCCTCCTGAAGGCCTTCCCTGACCACCCTTCCACATGGATCACCTCGCTGGTTTTCACCTTGTTTGTGTCTCTCCTAGCCCCTTAGTGCTTGCCACCATCTGGACTTCTTCTTCTTCTTCTTTTTTTTTTTTTTATTGCTTTTTGACTAGTTCCCAATGTGAGGACAGCGATCTTGTCTCTTGTCTTCTGGACTCATTAACTAAGTTCTAACACAGGGCGTGCTGTAGTGCCTCAGTAAATGTCCGCTGAATGAACATATCTGTAAAATGAGCTCAACAGTCGAGTGAGAGCTTCCTATGCTCCAGACCATGTGTCGGACTTGTACCGATTTCTTCATTTGTCAACAGGTGAAGCAGGTGCATGCTATAAAAATTCAAAAGGTGCAAGGATAGTCAGTGAACACAAAAAAAACTCCCTCCCACCCCTGTCCCCCAGACCCTCAGTTTTCCTCCCTGAAAACAGCCTATGTTGCCGGTTCCTTCCAGGGAATTCCTCTTGCTGGCTTGCTTTTTTTGTTTGTTTGTTTTATTTGATAAATATTTTCCCCAGCATTTTACTATGAAACTTTTCAACATAGAATAAAGGTGAAAGAATCGTACTGCAAAGAACCATGTAGCGCTAACAGTCTCCAGTTGATGTTTGGCTGTATTTGCCTAAACACATCTCTCTCCATCTGTCCACCCCTCTCTCCACCCACTCATCCACTCGTTTTATTTTGGGAACATTTCAAAGTAAATTGCAGACACCAGTACACTTCCCCATACGTCCGTTAGCATTCTTGTTCTTTTTTAGGGCTGTGTGGAAATTCACTGGGTGGGTGAACTGTGATTTGTTTCGCCAGCCCCTGGCTCAGGGACACATAGGGTTTTCCTCCGTCACTGTGCTGGCACTTGGTCCCTAGCTCACCGATTTTCCACGTACTCCTGCAAAGTAGGAAGCCCCGCCTCTGTTTCACAGATGAGCGATCCAAGGTTCAGAAAGGCTCTGTTGCAAAGACACAAGGCTAGGGAGGGACCCTAAGCAGGTTGTTGTTGTTTTCATTTTTATTTTTCTAAACTCAAACGCATCTTGTGTGCCCTTTGCGCTTCGGCCTCTTCCAGTCCCTCACTGCCCTGGGTCTTCAAGGTGGGGTTTGGGCGCAAGCAGACAAGCAGGGCAGGAAGGGTCAGGGGAAGGGGAGGGGCTGAGAGCTGCAAGGCCACTTTCCAGCCATTTAAGGCAAGGCCATGTGGGCTGCTGGGGTTCATGGGCCCCTCATGGCTGGGACCACAACTTCCTTGGGGCGGTTGACCATGATGTTTTCTCTGCAGCCTTCCCAGAGGAGCTGCCCGTGGACGTGAAGCACAGGAAGCTGGGTGAGCGGGTGGGGTGCACCCGGGGAGACTGTGAGGCAGGGAAGCCAGGGCTCAGAGAGGTGAGGTCCCTTGTCCAAGATCACACAGCTAGTGAGAGGCGGAGTTGGGATTCAAACCAAGATCACGGTTCCACAGCCCCCTCTCTGCAGTTTGAAGGCTGCTGGGAGATTCAACTTCTCCCACAAAGCCTCTGCCCTGACACCCCTTCTTAATTCTGAGTCAGAGCCGAGACCCCGCCTCCCGCCTTACTCCACTGCCCCTCCAGACCACACTTCTCCTTTTGGAGTACAGAGTCACCTAGGGTCAGCTGGTCACCCAGTGCCCTCTGGCCTCCCGAGAGCCCCATGCCTCAGCGAGCCTTTCCCCAGGCTCACCGCCTCCTCCCACCAGAGGCTGCCTCCTCTCCCTCCACCTGCCCTCTCATCCCACCCTGTTGTTATTGCAAAGTGGGGGAGACCAGCCCCTGAGTGGCACAGAGTGAGGAAGACAAAGCAGCTTCACCCAGGGCTGAGAAGAGGATGGGAGCTCCCTCCAACCACCCGGAGAGAGATCTACTGTGCTTCTGCCATCCTCCCTAGAAGGGCCCCACCAGGCACCCATTCAGATCGCATCCGTGGTCCCCTGGATCTAACATGGTCGTCTTGCTCACAGCTGAGCCCCTCGCTGTGCCCATGGTGACTGGCACGTTCGTGGTCGGGTCAGTGAGTGACTCTGCAGCTCTGCCCTGCCTGTCACCACCTGCTGTGTTCAACAAGGAGCCAGCATCCAGCCAGACCTGGCTGGAGGAGACCATCCTGATGCCTGGTACGTTAGGGACTTAGAGAGGGTAGGCTTCCTACCCCCCCTTCCCTGGGGGTGCCTGAAGAGTGGCCATGGTAGGGCCCACCAGGGACAGGAACCGCCCCTTGGTGTCACCCACTTCCATCCCAGTTAGTCCCATCCTCAGGGTCCCCATCAGCTCAGCCTGTGCCAGAGAATGTGCCTTGGAAGGAAACATCCCTGGGAGATATAGCAGGGAGTCCCCACCCATTAGGGCATTTGCTCATCAGCTCTCTTCATTCATCAGTTATGCACTGAGCACCTTGTCTGTGCCCGCCACTCTGCCGGGTGCTGGGGACACCACCACGGGCAAGACAGACACAGCTGCTGCTCTGGGGGGACAGAGGAGCCTGCCCTTTAGAAAGGGAGTCGGATCTTAATCGGATAATTAGAGAACAGGATTACGAACATTGCTGCTCTGGAGGATCCCACCTCACTGCCTTTGTCTCCCCAGTGCCCCCTTCCAGTTCCTTGCTGAGCTGCCCGAGTCTTCCTGCTGGACGCATCCAGATCATCCCTGCCCTCCCCTCTCTGCCCCAGGGGCTCTGGCAAATCTCAGGGGCTGGGACGGGGGTGTCTGGTATGGTCATTTATCAAGGTGAGTGTTCAAAGCCTGCCCCCCATCCCTTCTCGCGGCTACCTGACTACTCCCTGACCCTGTCCTCCCCCAACCCCCGGCATTTGGCACCTTCTTATGATCCTCCGTCCCCAGAACACCCTTCTCTGACCCCCTTTCCCAAATATCAAAGCATAAGGGCAGAGCTCCCCAAGGTGGTCGGGGTGAGTGACCCACCCACCCAGGGGCTGGACTTTCTATGTATCACTTTTCCCCACCAAGCCTTAGTTTTGCCTTTTTTCCTTTGTATTAAACTTTATTATATTTAAAAATCCCATTGATTCATGCTCATCCACAAGCCAAACAAAATGAGATGCTTACAAGAGTTAATGAGGCTCTTCTGCACTCTTAGTATAGAGTGGTGAACTGTTTTGGTGTGCATCCTTGCGTGGCTTTTTTGGAATTGCCTTATTTCCTGATCGGCAGGATGGTCTCTGCTGACCTCCCACACTGAGGAGTTGTGAATTGCCCAGGGCAAGTCTCCTTTGGGCTCTCAGGGATGGGAGAGAGGATGAAGTCAGGTGGGGAGACTTCCACCCAAACTAAGAGCATCCTTTAAATGTTGTATGCCAGTTTTTCGTATAGTGTGCTGGTGGTCCAGAAGGAAGGGAGCATCCCTGACCTGACCTCCAGGCAAATGAGCACTGACCGTATAGCAGGAAGAATGTTATAGTAGCACTTGCCCTAAGCTCTCTGTGAGCTGACTGTGCCCATTTCACAGGTGGGGAAACCAAGTCTCGGTGAGCTAGGGGTAACTCCAGAGTTCTTTCCTCAGTCCTGTCCTGAAATGTCTTCCTCTGGGAGTTCCCCAGTCTCCTCCCCACACTTCCCAAGCCACACAGCCTCCTTTGGGATGGGGTGGGGGTGACCCAAGTGGGGTCCTGGGTGGACACCTGATTGTTCTAACCCTTCCCATTGTCCCAATGTAGGCGAGATGCCCCAGGCCAGCCAAGTGCTTCCTTCCAGTGGCCCAGCTGTGCAGAGCCTCCCCAAGTTCCCAGATCGGCCCGGCTCCACCAGCCCCTTTGCCCCGTCTGCAGCTGACCTTCCTGGAATGCCAGAACCAGCCTTGACCTCCCGTGCAAATACGACAGGTAAGGACCCTCGGGGGCCGGTGAGAGTTTCAGGAAGCAGGACGGAGGCCCTGGAATCATCTCAATCAGGTTCACAGACCAGGCCACCCACAGGGACAGGCAGGCTGCGTTTAAGGGTAAAACAAGGTAGGGGGGGTCTCCAGGGAGTGGAAGGCATGAGAGAACACGTGTTCCACCTAAACCGGACAACTGGCCTTCAGCTACTTGCCACCCAGCACGAAACCAGACCCAGTGTGGCCAGATCTTCTGATTTGTCAGCAGAATCTACAAATCTCAGTTTTTACATAGATACTGTGATTTTTAAAACATTGGTGAAAATTTTTAAAGCATAGCTGGCCCAGTTAGGGGTGCCTGGGTGGCTGAGTCATTAAGCATCTCCCTTCAGCTCAGGTCATGATCCCGGGGTCCCGGGATCAAGCCCCACATCAGGCTCCCTGCTCAGCGGGAAGCCTGCTTCTCCGTCTCCCACTCCCCCTGCTTGTGTTCCTTCTCTCACTGTGTCTCTCTCTGTCAAATAAATAAATAAATCTTAAAAAAATAATAATAAAGCACAGCTGGTCCAGTTAAAAGCCTCTTTGAGTAGGATACAGCCTCAGGTCACCACCTTATGACTGTTGTCTTGGGGAAGACCCAGCCACCCCCCCGCCCCCGTTGGTTCTGCCTTTGGGAGCCTCGGAGGACTGAATGTCCCCGAGGCAGGAAGGTCCCCAGGCAGGCCCCTCACCTGAACTTCTTCATCTCCAGAGGACCAGATGTCCCCTACCCAAAGCCGGGCAGCTCACGAGGTCTCCAGCAAGCCTCTGAAATGGCCTGGTAAGTGGTGGTGGACTCTCTGTGCCCTGGGGCAGGAGGTGGAAGCCCGGGTCTGCTTCTATTTCACTCACTCACTCAACACGTACTCAGCCCTTCTCTGTTGGTGGTCTTGCTCATGCATCCGTTCACTTGCTCACTTGATTCTATGAGCAAGTCACATGTGCTGAGGTCCTGCCCTCATAAGCCCACACCAGGTGTTGGCACCTTGTTTTCCAGCCCAAGGGAATGAATGAGGGGAGAGATGGATGAAGGAGGGGGCTGACTCTGGGCACAGGGGCGATGGGAGATGAGATGATGAGAGGATGACCGAGCTCCTAAATCTTACTCCGTTCCGCGTGCTTTTCTAAGCAGATATATTAAATCATGCATGTCACAAACAGCCCTAATGTTATCCCCCTTTTGCAGATGAGGGACTCCTGGGGCATCCCAGTGATACTAATTATCACAGTAATTAGCGGTGGAGCTGGGATTTTAACCAGATACATGGATTCCACTCTCTTAAACCTTAACACTGCCCCCCACCCCATGGCCTTCCTATAGTGAGGGAGCAAAAGCAGAAGGGGGTTAGTGAGTAAATGAAGGGGCGGATAGATAAACAAGGAAGAAGACAGGTGAATGACAGGTGTGAGAGTGAATGAGTGAATGAATGAATGTCTGCGTAACTGAGAGAGGCAGTAATAAAGAAGGCAGTGGGTGGGGACTGACTGGCACAGCTGGTGGTCGGGCTGGCCTCGTGGTGGCGCTAGCACCCTCCCCGCACAGCACGCGCGCGCGCGCACACACACACCCACCCTTGGGCCTTTGCAGAGAGTGTGGAGCAGTTCTGCAGCTCCCTACGGGACAAGTACCAGGCTGAGCTCGCCGGCCCGGAAGGCATCCTGGTGGAGGTGGAGCTGGTGAAAGCACGGCTGGAGAGGAGCAGTGGCAAAAACCAGGAGAGGGAGCTGGCCACCCCGGACTGGGCAGAGAGGCAGTTGGCCCGCGGGGGTCTGGCCGAGGTGCTGGGGGCTGCCGGGGACTGCCGGCGGCCGCGGGAGACGCAGGTGATCGCCGTGCTGGGCAAAGCAGGACAGGGGAAGAGCCGTTGGGCCCGGGAAGTGAGCCGGGCCTGGGCCTGCGGCCAGTTGCCCCAGTATGACTTCGTCTTCTACTTCCCCTGCCACTGTTTGGACCACGCCAAAGGGGACACTTACCGCCTGCAGGATCTGCTCTTCTGCCTGGGCCCCCAGCCACAGCCTGTGGACGAGGAGGTCTTCAGATACATCTTGAGGCGGCCCGACCGGGTTCTGCTCATCCTGGACGCCTTCGAGGGGCTTGAAGCCCAAGACGGCCTCCTGCACAGCGCGGGCGGACCCGTGTCCACAGAGCCCCACTCCCTCCGCGGGCTGCTGGCCGGACTCTTCCAGCGGAAGCTGCTTCGAGGCTGCACCCTGCTGCTCACGGCCCGGCCCTGGGGCCGCCTGGCCCAGAGCCTGAGCAAGGCCAACGTCCTGTTCGAGGTGGCCGGCTTCTCAGCCGAGCAGGCCAAGACCTACGTGACGCGCTACTTGGAGCGCGCTGGGGCGACTGCATGCCAGGAGCGAGCCCTGGCCCTCCTCCAGGGCCAGCCGTTCCTGCTCAGCCTCAGCCACAGCCCCACCGTGTGCCGGGCCGTGTGCCGGCTCTCCGAGGCCCTCCTACAGCTGGGTGACAAGGCTGAGCTGCCCTCCACGCTCACAGGACTCTACGTGGGCCTGCTGGGCCCCGCAGCCCGCGACAGCCCCCCGGAGGCCCTGGCAGGACTGGCCAGGCTGGCCTGGGAGCTGGGCCGCAGACACCGGGGCACCCTGCAGGACAGCCAGTTCCCATCGGCCGCCGTGAGGGCCTGGGCCGTGGCCAAAGGCCTGGTGCAGCCCATCCCGGGCGCCCCGGACGTGGAGCTGGCCTTCTCCAGCTTCCTCCTGCAGTGCTTCCTGGGGGCCGTGTGGCTGGCCCTGAGCACTGAAATCAAGGACAAGGAGCTGCCGCAGTACTTGGCGTTGACCCCGAGGAAGAAGAGGCCCTATGACAACTGGCTGGAGGGTGTGCCGCGCTTCCTGGCTGGCCTGCTTTTCCAGCCTCACGCCGACTGCCTCGGAGCCCTGGCAGGGCCAGCTGCAGCCGCCGTGGGGGCCAGGAAGCAGAAGGTGCTCAGCAGGTACCTGAAGGGCCTGCAGCCAGGGACGCTCCGGGCCGGGCGGCTGCTGGAACTGCTGCACTGTGCGCATGAGGCCACGGACGCCGCGATCTGGCAGCACGTGGTGCAGGGGCTTCCAGCCCGCCTCTCCTTCCTGGGCACCCGGCTCACACCCCCCAACACCTACGTGCTGTGCAGTGCCTTGGCGGCGGCCGGCCAAGACTTCTCCCTGGACCTCCGTAGCACTGGCATTGACCCCGCTGGGCTGGGGAGCCTCGTGGGACTCAGCTGCGTCACCCATTTCAGGTGGGGGCAGGGGACAGGGCAGAGGGCTTCCGCCGTGGTCTTGGCGCTGTGCCCGGTGCTAAGCACCGCGGTGGGGTCTCGTTTAGTATGCATGGCAGCCGGGGGGGGGGGGGGGCGGAAGTGATTCCTTCCTTTTTAAGATGAGGACGTCCAGGCTCAGAGAGGGATAGCGGCTTGCCCAGGGTCACACAGCCAGTGAAGGGCAGCGTCTTCAACCAATATTTGTGGGTTTTTTTAAATTAAATTAAATTTTTTTTTTTCTATTTTAGAGAGGTGGGGGAGGAGGGGTAGAGGGGGAGGAAGAGGGAAAGAATCTCAAGCAGACTCCACGCTGAGCAGAGCCAGACATGGGGCTCGATCTCATGACCCTGAGATCATGACCTGAGCCCAAACCAAGAGTCCAGCGCTTAACCGACCGAGCCACCCAGGCGCCCCTTCAACCAATATTTGAAGGTCTGACAGGTGCGAGGCACTGGGCCACATTTAGGATCTAAGACTGATCTGGGCTCAAATTCGTATTCTTCTCTCCATCCCCTAATCAAGCCACTGTTTTGTCATGGTTAAAGCCACAGCCTCCCCTCGAGCTCCCCACCTCCCATCTCCCTTTTCCATTCTACTTCATAGTCAACCGTCAGAGCAGTCTTCCTAGAACTTGCATCTGATCATATTCTACCCCTTTGATTCCTTAACTTGGCTCATTTAAATCCTTCTGTGATCTGTTTGATCACTTTAGCCTAATCTGCAGAAAATTTCTCCCACCTTCCCCCCAAATATACTTTATCCAAGCTATAAAGTCCTATACCATTGTAGTGGTTCAACCAAGAATTTACTGCTGAGCTTCCTGGTAGCCAAAGCAAAAAGGGAAACAAAACCACTGGGGGGGCTGAGAAAAGGGAGCGATCATTAGGAACTGGAGTGGTCATGGAAGGCTTCCTGGAGGAAGTAGGGATGAAGCTGAGGACAGAAAGCGTCTGACTAGATAGGAGGTTCCTTCATGGAGCTGCCCCTCCATTATGGTCTAGCCCGGCTCTTGTGCCTGGGTCTGAGGCCCTTCCTCCGCAGGGCTTCGCTGAGTGACATGGTGGGGCTGTGGGAGTCTCTACAGCAGCGTGGGGAGACCAAGCTGCTCCGGGCAGTGGAGGAGAAGTTCACCATCGAGCCTTTCAAGGCCAAGTCCCCGAAGGATGTGGAAGACCTCGGCAACCTCGTGCAGATCCAGAGGTGAGGAGGAGAGGGCATGAGAGGTGGCTCAGACCATGCAGGTTGAGGACAGGCAGGACCCAGCATTAAAGTTCACCATTGGTGCTTCTCCTCTCCTTGGGGAGATCCCGTGCCCTCCCCCAGGCTGCCCAGAATCTCCTGCAGCAGGCAGGGCAGAGCCTCCAGGACCCATCACCTCGTGCCCTTCAAAACCTGCCATCATGAACCCAATTTGTCCTCAGCTAGAGCCAGACAGAGAGCTCCCTGCTGAGGGTTGAGGAGGTGCTTTCTGCATCTAGTAACAGAAATGTCACTGATGGCCACCTTTCAGGGTAGGCAGGACGAGTACTGTCCCCATGTGATCGATGGCAAAGCACTAAGGTCCAGAGGGCAGAGAAACTTGACTATAGAACAGCTGTTTCTTATTCTGTCCTCATCCACTGTTTAAGCACCTACCGTGTGCTGCCTGGGCCGAGTTTGGTAAGCATCTGCTTTCCATGAAACCCGTAAGAACGCCTTCGTAACATCCTGTTCTATTTCTTTTTAACGGGGGACAATAATAGCCTCCAAGGAAGGCAGGCCTCCCCGGGAATTTGAGGCAGGCATCCTGAATCACTCATGTAGGGGCTCAGGGACAGGCGAAGAGCCTGCACCCCACTAACATTGCCCCTTCTCTCTAGGACAAGGAATTCCTCGGAAGACACAGCTGGAGAGCTCCCTGCTGTCCGGGATCTAAAGAAGCTGGAGTTTGCGTAAGCAGAGGAGTGAATTGTCTCGGGTCCCCGTGAGGTTTCTTACCCGGCATTATTAGCTGGGCCTGAGCCACTGGGAATGGAGAGGGGTCCCCAAAATCATTTTTTTAAAAGATTTTATTTATTTATTTGAGAGAGAGAGTGTGTGGGAGGAGGAGCAGAGGGAGAGGGACAAGCAGACTCTGTGCTGAGCTTGGAGCCCGACACGAGGCTCAATCCCAGGACCCTGAGATCATGACCTGAGCTGAAATCAGGAGTCAGTCGCTTAACAAACTGAGCCACCCAGGTGCCCACCCCCTGCCCCAGATTATTCTTATCCTATTGCTTCGCCCCTTTGGAAACCAGCTTCCAGCATCTGGGGCCCGGCTGGTCAGGGCTGGGGCTGGAGCTTCTCGGGTGTGATGCTAAGTGGCCCATTTACTGGTGAACATGCTCCTTCCCATTCATTCATTGGACAGACACAATCCACTGACTGAGGCCACTGTCCTCAATGAGCCTGAAGTCTAGTGTAAACGGACAATTACCCCCTGCTGTGATCAGTGGCCCGTGGGGCGGCGGGGAGGCCATGGGGACTCTCTGGAGTAGGTGAACGAAGGGCTGAAGCTTGCCTGGTTCTTGTTCCAACAAAGGAAGAAGCTAAATTCGTGTGCTATCTTTGTTAGGGATCGAAAATCTCCTAACAATTAGGAAAAAATTATTAAACACCTGCAGTGCACACAGTGCAATTTATATATGATCTGGGAGGTAGTCACTACCTTCCCATCTTACAGATGAGAACATCGAGGCCTAGCCAGGTTAAGTGACTTGCCCAAGGTCCCCAGCTGGTCACCCTCCAGTTACCTGCCCCTCCTGATCTCTGCTCCCCCGCACCCCAGAAAAAGGCAAGCATTTCTGGTTTGGAACAGAGACAAGGTGCCACATTTGTGCACAAATAAAAATGTTGCTGGAAAGAGGAAATGTGTGAAAACAATCACCAAGGGCGCCTTCTGGCTTTAACTTATTTTCAGCTTAAAAAGCCCCTAGATGGAGGTCGGAAGTGTGCTCTGGGGAACAACAGCATTGAGGTGGAATGGCCCAGAACCAGGAGACTAGCCACCTGCAGGCTAGAAGCCCCAAGAAAGATCTGAAGAAGGAAGGAAGGAAAGGACTATTTTGGGTGTGTGACTGCCAGCCACTGCGCCCGGTACCACGCAAGCCCCAGTGGCCTGGAGATGAGTCTCATTGGTTGCTCAGAACCCGTGAGGTGCTCTGCGAGGGGACAGGGTCCTGATTCAGCCCTTGAAGAGGCCTCCTCCATCTCCCGTACTGCCTTCCCTGCTCCCTCCACTCCAGCCCCAGGGGTCTCCTTGCTGGACTCCAACCTCATAGGCAGGGTCTGGCCCCAGGGCCTTTGCACTGCCTGCGCCTTCTGCCCATGATGCTCTTCCCCAGATATCCGCACGGCCCACGCCACTACTTTCTCCCTTCCTTCTGGTTTCCACGGAGCCAAATGCTCCCATGTTTGAAAGTACAGTTCTACCTCGCCTGCCACCGTGCTTTTCTCTGTATTACTGATTATCTCCCACACCAGATAATTTACCGATTTCTTTCATTATCTGTCTTGCCCACGGGACTGTCAGCTCCACGAACGAGGGCCAGGATTTCTGTCTGTTCTGTCACGGCCCTGTCCGCGACAGGCTCGCATGGGCGAGCAGTCAATACTGGATGCACGAACTCTGTAATCCTTCCAACAGGCTCATGAGACAGGGGCCAAATCTGAGGAGACCAAGACGGAGCTGAAGGGGTTTGCCCACGTGGCCCCATGGGAGCCACGTGGTAGGGCCCAGGTTTAAGTCAGCCATTGGACTCCCATCTCATGACCTTTTATCGAGGCTCGAAGTTCCCAGACTTTGAGATTGCAAAGACGGAGAATATTTTGGAGTAAATTTGAAGGACTATATGCAGTTACCATGTTTTCATGTTTATCAAGTGTGTTCATTCCAACAAGCAAAATAGCCCCTGCTGGCACCAATTTTATCAAAGAATGAACATTTTCGTGCCAAAAACACTCCAAAGGACACAATTTCAGAATAAAAGACAGTTCTTTATGTTGAGTCCCGTTTAACCATATTTTAAAAGCAGAACAAAAGAGCCCTGCACTGTCTTTATTTTTCTTCCCCTGGAAGTCGGGTGTAAATGCTGATCCAGCCTGTGAGACCTTGTGTGAATTAGTTAATCCCTCTGTGCCTCGGTTTCCCCATCTGTAAAACAGGGATACGAAGTGCCCTTAGCTCAGAGTTGTGAGGGTGAAATGACATCTGAGTGAAGGACCCCGCGTGTGCCTGGCACATAATAAGTTCTCAATAAATGGTTTTATTTGTTATTAAAATGTAATGACACAGGGGCACCCGGCTGGCTCAGTCAGTAGAGCATGAAACTGTTGATCTCAGGGTTGTGAGTTCGAGCCCCACGTTGGGTGTAGAGATTTTCTTGTTTTTATTTTTATTTTTATTTATTTATTTTATTTTATTTTTATTTTTTAAGTAACAAATAAATTTTTTAAATTAAAAAATAATTTAAAAATAAAAATGTAATGGCAGATAAGTAAAGTCATTTTTCTCAAGACTGGTGGTGGTCCTCAGGCTGGAATTTGGGAAACACTTTCCCAGGCCAGGAGCCCAAGCTACCTCTTGGGGGGCTTCAGTGAAGTCTGGCCAGAACAGAAGGGATTGGGGTGCCACCTAGTGGGGATCAAGGGAGGGAGGGCACTGGGGGGCAGGGAGGGGAGGTGGCCTCAGACTGGACGTGCCTTCTGTGACATGTCCACCCCACCCTGGTGCCACATTGAGGAGCCGTGACAGTTTCGGGGTCTTACCTCTGCTCTTTGCCTCCTAGGCTGGGCTCTGTCTTAGGCCCCCAGGCTTTTCCCAAACTGGTGAGGATCCTCGAGGCCTTTTCCTCACTTCAGCATCTGGAGTAAGTATGGACGCGGGCACCCTCAGGTTTTGATAGCCTCAAACCCTGCCCCTGGCGAAGGTGCACACAGGAGGACCGACCTTCTCTGTCCTACCCTCCCTCCCTCCCTCTCTCCTGCGGCTTCCTCAGTGTGGTTGGTGGGAAGGACCAGATGACCCCACTGCAGGGAAGGGAGGACAGATGAGAGAATGCCCAAGAATAAAAAAGGTTGAGTCCTTTTGTGACCTCTGGAACTCCTTTCCCTCCCTGGGCTCCCATGCTGTTCCATCTGGGAGCAGGAGCCCATTGCACAGTTGTGGTCCCAAGAGGGTTAAGGAAGTTGCCAGAGCTCACAGGGCTCCCAGGGAAAACAAACAAACAAAAAACTGATTCATGTCTGTGGGGAGTCAGAACCTTGTCCCCTGGCTGGCCAACTGGTCAGCCGCCCGGGGATGCAGATTTGCTCTGGAAAGTTTGCCTATGGTGTGTCCAAGGTGGGGGTGGGGGTGGGGGTGGGGGTGGGAGGAGGCTGGCCTCCTGGGTGTGGGCTGATGGCCCCTCTGTCTGATTCCACCCACAGCCTGGACTCGCTGAGTGAGAACAAGATCGGGGATGAGGGTGTCGAGCAGTTGTCAGCCACCTTCCCTCGGCTGAGGGCCCTGGAGACTCTCAAGTGAGTGCTGGAGCTGCCCTTCCTGCTGCATTGGGTTTTTGTGTTTTTCCGTTCACTCACCCATTCAGTTGTTTCTTGATTGAATCACGCGCAAACGCTCATTTGTTAATTTAATTGGCGAATACCAAAGGAGCACCTACTATGTGCAGCCACCATTCCGGGCCTTGCAGACCCAGATTTTTTTTTTTTTTGACGATTTTATTTATTTGAGAGAGAGAATGAGAGAGAGCGAGTACATGAGAGGGAGGAGGGTCAGAGGGAGAAGCAGACTCCCGGCCGAGCAGGGAGCCCGATGCGGGACTCGATCCCGGGACTCCAGGATCATGACCTGAGCCGAAGGCAGTCGCTTAACCAACTGAGCCACCCAGGCACCCGCAGACCCAGCTTTAAACAGAACAAACAAAGCCCCTGACCTCAGTGAACTCCTCGTAAACAAGCAAACAAATAAATCCGTGATTATGAAGCACACACTGATGAACGTAAATAACATTTAAGGAGAGGAAGTTACACTGGGCGGTGTGAGACGAGAGACGGACTAGGATGTGTCACTAAAACATTATCATCAAAATAGTAAATATTTATTTAAAAAAAAAAAAAAAGGAGCACCTGGGTGGCTCAATCAGTTGAGCGTCCAACCCTTGATTTCAGCTCAGGTCTTGATCTCAGGGTTGCGAGTTCAAACCCGGCGTTGGGCTCAAAAAACACCTGTCCTGGGTTTTGGGAAGTGGATGGATGTGATGTAGGAGGATCTGCATGATTGTTTACTGAACGTGGAGGGGATCATCAAAGTCTGTCCACGCTCTGCTTCATAACTGGGCCCGGGATGGCAGCAGGGTTCACTTTGGAATTTCCTTGACTGTAGGACATTGAGACTTGCCCAGTAATTTATAGTATTCTAGGTGATGCTGTGGGTAAGCTAGATCCTCTCTCCGCCCCCACCACTCCTTTCTTTGTCCCTCCCTCTCCTACCTTTCCTTCCTGTCTTTTTCCCACCCACTTAAGTATCGAACACCTACTATGTACTTGGCATTGATGTAGGTACAGGGATACAGTAACCAAAATAACAGACCTGCCATTAAACAAATAATATGAACACGTATTCAGTTCTAGTTGGGAAATGTGGTCCAAAGGGAAAAGAAGGATGATATCAAATCATAGAACAGGTGTGGGGGGCATGACCTCTCTCTATTTTCATCCTCACCCCCACATCCCACGCAGCCAAGGGCGGCACAGTATCTTTCTATTTACTAAGAATCAGCCTGTTACCCACGACTCTCCTCGAGGTAGACAGACATGTGTTTGCTGCTCGGGCCACCCTGTGGGGAAGTGAAAGTTCCCCAGCTCTGCCCCGGAGTGGGTGGGCACGGATGGGGAGGGGCGTGAGAGTTTGGTCCTGAGCCCTTCCCCTCGCTGTGTCCCTGCAGCTTGTCCCAGAACAGCATCACCGACGTGGGCGCCTGCAAGCTCGCCGAGGCCCTGCCCTCCCTGGCTGCGTCCCTCCTCAGACTGAGGTGAGCGGGCCCCCCTCACCAAGCTGGCGGGCTGGGGGAGGGTGGAGAGCCACACCACCACCCCGCACAAGAGGATAGCAAGGGCCTGGGGAAATGCACCTGACAAACCGGGCAAGTTGCTTACTCGTTTGGAAAATGGGTACCATCCCAGTGGCCTATGGAAAGCGCTTGGCGCAATGCCTGGCTCTAGTGCACAGTAAATATTGGTCTTCTTTCCCCAGGGGATGGCAGGACTGAGCCTTTTCTGGAGTGCAGTGGTGATGGTTTCTAGAAGCTGACCGTGCGTGCATTGGCGGCCTTGGCTGGCTCTTGCAGCTCACACAGTGCCTGCACTGCCACCTTCTGGTCGGCCTTGGCATAGCACTTTTTGCTTTTGATGACTTCCAGCCTGCCTCCCTGGTGGTCCCAGGACTGATGAGGGGAGTTCAGACCAGAGCCCCAGCCCTTCAGCTCAGCCTTGCCAGCTCTCTTCTCTCTCCAGGCTTTCCTACTCCTTCCTCAGCCTTCATCCCCTGCCAAGGACAGCCAGAGCCACATTCCCAGGGGAGATGGTATCTGGTTCATCTAGTTATTGACGCATCCACCGTTTATCGTTCCAGCCAGGGTCACCATGTGCAGCTGTATGGGTTGTGTATTGTGCAAATCATAGTCTATGTGATTGTCACTCCCCAGAGTTGTGCAGGGCATCTAATTACCTCTAATATCAACCATGGGCCAGTACTTGTGCTAGGAACTAGAGATTCAGCTATGAACAAAACAAATATTCCCTTGCTTTCAAGCTTCTTGCCTAATAGATAAGCACATGTACAAACAAAATATTTTTAAATAGTGATTTGTACGGGGGAGGAAACTAACAAGGGCCCAGGAGGGTACAATGGGGAGTACTGAATTCATCAAGGAGGTCAGGAGACCCCCTTCCATGGGAGGTGCTCAGGAACAAGCATTCCAGGAGGAGGGAACAGAAGATGCAAAGGCCTTGAGGTGGGAAAGAGTTCTGTCTTTGCCAGGAGGGCCACTGTGGCTGGCTAAAGAGAATGAGGGACAGCAGGTGGGAAATGAGGTGGGAGAGGTAGGGGAGGCCAGAATATGCAGGGAGACCTTCATAGGTCCGGAGAGGGCTTTTGGAGTTTTTCCATTGTGAATGGAGAAGCATATGGGGCAAATGGGGGCAATATCTGATACGACTGACATTTTAGAAAACACTGCTAATTAAACCATGGCATTCATTGATGATCAGACACATCTGGATCCCAATGATATTCAGATGTGAACATGTACATCTTGGCATCGATGAAATATGGGAAGAATCCTCTGTCTGTGGGAGGAGGGGGAAGCCCCCTGGATTCTAAGACCCCCTGCCCCCAGGAAGGAATTGTAAAGCCTCCGCCTGGTTCTGGCCCTGTGACATCAGGAGATGCCGGAGGTTAACCTTCATCTGCTTTGCTGCAGTGTAGACCTGCTGCTTTTACATGCAGCCCTGCAGTGTAACCCCGAAGCTGAGTCATGGCGAAGTCATGGCCTTGAAATGAGAACCTCGGGAGCACCTGGCGTGTTAAAGGGATGATTGTTACCAAGTGTACACCCATCGCTTTATTTACCATGCTGCTCACGGTAGCTGTGACCACACCGAGAAACCCGTGCTGGCCCAGTGGTTCTGGTTTTTTCTCTCCCCTAGTATTCCCCAGTGCTGGTCATGCCATCTACGGTAACTCATATAACCGTCACCATCCCCCCCCTTCATCCCCTGCCCCAGGGGGTAGTAATAACCACAGCTAGGATTTAGTCATTTCACGTGCCGGGCTCTGTTTTGGGTGTTGTACCAGCATGAACTCATTTACTCCTCCCTGCGATTACTCTATCGTGCCCATTTTCTGGAGGAGCAAACTGAGTCACAGAGGAGTTAAGTAACTTGCCAAAGGTCACACAGGCCACAAGCCCCGGAGCTGGGATTTGAACTTGGGAAAATCTCGGCCAGGAGTCTCTGGGCCTCAGGTTGCCCCTCTGTAAAATGGGGCAGGGATCTGCCTGGACGTGGATCCCCATGGGCCCTGACCTCTGTTTCTGGCAGCCTGTACAATAACAGCATCTGTGACATGGGAGCTGAGAGCCTGGCACACGTGCTTCCAGACATGGTGTCCCTCCGGGTGTTGGAGTGAGTGTGGACAGTGGGTGGCAGGGCTCTGGGGCTCGGGGGGACTGTGGGGTCTCCTGCTGCCAGGCTGGGAAGGGCTGCTTGTCGAGAGTGCGGGGGTGGCCTTGGTCGGGGGCTGGATGGCCCCGAGTGAGGGCCAGGCCCCAGGATGGGTTTCTCTCCCCAGCGTCCAGTATAACAAGTTCACGGCTGCTGGGGCCCAGCAGCTAGCTGCCAGCCTGAGAAAGTGCCCTCATGTGGAGACACTGGCGTAAGTCTTGGCCCTCTATGGGTGGAGGGCCCCCAGCTTTCCAGGGGTGCAGCTCCTGTGAGCCTTGAGCTCAAACCCCGCTCTCACCCTCACCAGTGTGGGAACTTGGACGAGCAAACTTTGCCACCCTGGCCTCAGTTTCTTTGTAAAATGGGAGTGGTAATATTTACCCCCAAGCAGTTTTGTGAGGTTCAAATTAATCTTAGAACAGTGGCTGGTACCTGAAAATGCTCAATGTATTAGGGTCAACGATATGAAATCACTTATATTCTATTATTTTGGACCTGGCAAATTTGGCCATTTCATATGGTTCAAACTTATGTGTTATCCCATCACTATGGTGTCTGATGTCTGGTATCAGTACTTTAAATTCTTCCAAGGCACTTTCACCTACATAATCCCTCATATCTTCTAGGGTAGAATTTATAAGCCCCATTTTACAGATGAGGAGAATGAGGCACAGAGAGGCTAACTAACTTTTTGGAGGTCACAAAGCAAGTCAGTAGTAGAACCAGGTCTAAAGAAAGGGGTCTTGGGGCTCCTAGGCCTCTGCGATCCCTATAACCCCACACTGGTCTGGTTCTGCCAGGTGGGAAGTCTCCAAGGGTCTAGGCTGGGTGGTAGGAGAGAATTGGGGCCCCCTTCTCTCCTCTAACCTGGCCCCTGCACGCCATACCTGTTGTAGGATGTGGATGCCCACCATCCCGTTTGGTGTCCATGAACACCTGCAGCAGCTAGACTCACGGATCAGCCTGAGATGAGCTCCGTGATGCCCGGGATGAGGTAACCGAGGTGGGCTTGGACAGGGAGAACTGGGGGTGGGGCGGGGCGGGGGGCGCTGCTGGGTGAGCACCTCGAGACTATGCACCACCTGGGGCCTCCACCTGTGATTGGTGGAGGTGTCTTTACAGGCTTTGGGGACTAGGCCCTGAGCCTCCTGCCTGTGGCCAGGCATGGAGAGGTGGGGGAAGGATGGGGGTGGGGGGATGGTCAGGCATCCACAGCCCTTAGTTTGGGGAAGAACTTCCCTAGAGGTCCCCCCAGCCACCCCTGCCACCTGCCCTGCATGGTCTTCATAGGAATTTGCTCTACATGTTTCTGTGCAAATGTCCCCCGACTTCTGTGCCTCCCCAGCCTGTGATGTCCCCCTCCTCCAATTCCTTCTCATCCCCAGTCTGGACAATGCTCTGTCCATTTGTCCAGCGGCCCCCTCCTGAAGCTCTCTGACCCCGCCTTCTCCTGACCTCTCACAGCATGTTCTCTGAGGACGCTGACCACGCTGGACCTTGAACTGGTTATCTGTGGACACAGTTGTTCTTGGGCCCATGAGCCAAGCAGCCTGGCGCCCAGCCCTGCCGGCTCAGGGTCGGCCCCCACCCAGCCGCGGGAAGGACCTGCTCTGCGGATGGACCTGGGCCCGGCTCCAGGCCCCCTGCGGGGCCCAGGTCGATGGCACCCCTGGCAGATGGGCTGGGTGCCCAGTGGCCGCTGCAGTCCACCCAGGAGCACTGAGGCAGGCCCTGCGGGACGCTCATGACAGTGGTGACCAGGCCAGAGCGGGGGAGCAGGGCGGCCCCATCCCTGCGTCCCCAGGTCCCTGCTGGCCTGGGGAGAAAGCACTTCTCCACGCTGCTCTGCTAATAGGGCACGCTTGGTGCTCTGCGGACACCAGCAGCCTGCCCCGCCTGCTCCTTTGCCAAACTGTGACAGGCAGGGATTCAGTGGCAACTGCTTTGTGTCTGCAGGACTCACTGTTTTTGCACTAACCTGGTTGAGGCCAAAGCTTGGCCTGGTGCAGACACACTGGACTTTAGCTGGAAAGAGCTGACAGTACACTAATGGAGGGGGGAAGGCCTCTCAGCCTTCATTTCTTGTGTTGTGTTTCACTACATTATAAAGGGCTTGTTAAATCTCACGGGCATGTCCACCGTTTGAGTTTATACCGTGATTACCGTTTTGGGGCGCCCACTGTTCGGTTATCGAACGCATCACAAACTCCCCCCAAGATGCAGTGACTTAAAACGACTTTATTCTGCTCCCAGGCCGGTCATGTGGGCTGGGCTCGGTGGGCATGGCAGGTCTCTGCCCCACTCTGCGTCAGTGGGGGCGGCGTGAAGTCTCGGGGACTCCATGCCGGCTGGGGGCCTGGAGCCTTGGTTCCTCTAAGGAACCGACAACAGAGGGGGAGCCTCTCCATGTGTGCTAATTTGGGCTTCCTCATTGCATGGCAGCTGGGTTGAAGGGCGGTCACCCCAACTGGAAGAGGGAGATAGAGACAGAGACCACAGAGAGAGGTATCCTTTTCATGACCCAGCCTTTCGAGTCACATAGCACCTCGTGCTCCATATTCTTTGTCCCGTGGGACAGGGGCCGTGGCTCTCCTACCACTCCCCACGCCCCCTGGCCCCCCGGCAGAATCCACTGTGGCCCAAGTCCTGTCTCTCCAGACAGGATCTTCCTACGGCATCCCAAGCTTTAGTGGCGTATTTGTTATTTGGGGCTCGGGAAGGTTGATGCCCCGTAAGCCTTGCAAGAGGGGATATTTCCCTCTGCCTCTGTCTGACTTGGCGTTCTAACCTGGGAGCCGCTTCTTAGTTGAGCCGGCATCTTGCCTTGGCCATGCCGAGCCTGGAAGGGACCTGGAAGCTTTGCTGTCTACACCGAGGGCTGCCAGCTCAGCTGGTTATTTTTACTGGAGCACGGCCTGCTTGGTCAGAAGTCCCAATTCGGGACAAACTGGCTTTCTCCTGGCAGCAGCTCTGTGGCACCAGCCCTGGTGGCCGGTTCCCAGACTCTCCTCCTCTTCCCAGAAAGTGGGAGTAAGGGGTCAGGAGGATCAGAGGGATTTGGACCCAGCTGCCGAGTTGGCAGTCCCTGCGGAGAAGGATGTTGTCTTCTGCCTTGGCCCCGCTGTGAAGGGCACCGGGCGTTCTGACCCAGGATTGGGTTTTAAATAGCATGGGCATCACTCTGCAGGGACTCCCGTGTGTGCAGCCACAGGGGTGAGCGCCCCTTAGCCAGGTGGGGAGGGCACCATCACAGAGATGTTGTTCCGAGATGACGAACTGTTAATAGTCCGAGGTCATGGTTATTCGTAGTTCTGACTTCTTATACGACAGCTACCATTTACTAAATAAGGTGATACCCGTAAAGTGCTCATCACAGTGGAAGGGCTATAGTAGGTGTTCAGTAAAAATGAGCAACCACGACTTTGTGCCAGTACCACGTTAAGCCCTTCCTGCTCAAAGGGACCACAGCCTAGGGCCAGCAGCAGACTCCAGAGCTAGACCACGTGGGCTCAGTGCCCAGCTCACCACTTGTGCAAATTACTTCTCTGTGCCTCAGTCTCATCGTATGTAAAATGGGCATAATTACAGTACCTTCTTCACTATGCAGAGATTCAAGGAGTTAAGACACTGACAGCAAGAGCCTGGCATACAGCTCAATACTTGCTAGCTGTCCTTGTTATGTATCAATCTGTGCTTTGTTCCTGCCTCTGCCTGGAATGTTATTAGGCCCTTCATATTGGACAACTTCTGATCCTGTAGGACTCGGTTTAAATGACAGCTCCTCAGGAAGGTCTACCAGACCATCCTATTAAATAGACACCCCGACCCCCACTCTCCAAACTGGTCATTGGTTTATTGTTTTCATGCTTATTTGTTGTGGTTGTCTGCTCTTGTCCTAGGACGTGATCTCCAAGAGGGCAGCTCATTTGTCTGCTTTGTTCATTGTTGTGCCCTCCGTACCTTGCAAAGTGCCTGAACATAGTAAGTGCTCAAGAAACGTTTGTGGAATGAATGATCCTCACCACAACTCTGCTTATGTGCTTTGTTCATTCCACAAATATGTAGAAGACACAGTGGGCTACTCAATAAAATGCTCAAGGTTCCTGCTCTGGGAAGTCTTGTATTTTAGTAAATTAGAAAAACTCCCTGGGCAGGGCTGTGTGGTGTGGTTGGGTGGTCCGTGCACTGCACAAAGGCACCTGAACAAGGGGGCAAATGGGGGTTGCAAACCAGTGTGGACTCTGCTTGCCAAGCTGTGAGTCCTGATGCGGAGCGATGTCAGCCCAGCGGGGCACCTCTGTAATTATTAGCACAAAGTCATCTTATGAGGTATGTAAATTACTGTCCCCATTTCACAGATGGGACTTGCCTAAGGCCACACCCCTGTAAAGGAGGGAGTCAAGATGCCAACTCGCCTTTCAGTTTCCATGGAGGGGTGGCTCTCCATTGGTACAGGCACAGTGTGCTGGGATTGCTCTCTGAGAGCCATTTGCTGGGGGGGGGGGGGAGGGCGGGGGGGGGGGCGGGGAGCGATGCCCAGAGGAATAAACTAAAAATAAACTAAATAAATCCTGCTTCCCCTCAGGCCTCTCCCCCATCAGAAACCTCTCCCTTCGCCCGCTCACCTCTTTTCCTGGGCCTCTCAGATGTGTTCTGTTCACAGCCCTTCATGCCCTTTCTTAGCAGCACAGGAAGACGAGGGTTTCTGGGGCTTTTTTTCTCTGGAGTTCTGCGGGGGGCTTGACCCTCCCTCGCCTGTGTCCTCACCCACACGACGGAGCCAAACATTGTGCCTTGTGTAACTCGGTGTACGTGAGGGTGCTTTGAGAAGCATCGGGCACTGTGCAGAATGAGAATCACGGCTATTTTCTGATGAAACTGCAAGTCGACCCAACTTCACCCGTTCACCTGCTCCCTCCCTTCCTGATTCCCTGCGCTGTGGGCACGCAGGGAATACCCGAGCCTCCACCCAAGCCTCCCGTATCTCTGGGATCAAGGCCACTAGGCCTTGGCCACCACGCCCCACAGCCTGGCCCTGGCCTTTCTGGCCTGACCCCCCGCCAGCCTGGCTTGGGGGGAACTCTCCCAGCCCTGCTGGGTCCCAAGCTGGGGAGGTCCTGACTCTTCCACCTTTTGTGGAATGCGACATCCTGCCTAAGGGCTCCTTTCCCAGACTTCCAAAAAAAAAAAAAAAAAGAGGCAGGGCCCCCACAGGCTGGAGTTGCATACATGTTTTAATTGAAAGAAGTCAGCCTCCTAAGTATTGCTTTTACAGGTTTATCAACTCAAGTATTCATACCACTCACATTTTCAAAAATACTTCTGGCCAGAGGAGCAACGTGGCATTCTCCCGGCATGATGTATCAGTCCTGGCAACTTGATGAAGAACAAGCAACTTGAAAGGAGTAAGTCACACCCGACCCTCAGCCCCTGACACGATCTGTGGCTTCTTTTCCTTCTGACTTACTCCCTGAAATAGTCACTGCATCTAAGGCCAGCCTCGGGCCCAACCCGACCGGGCTGGGGTCTCCAGTGGCATCAGATGAAGCTGGGAGTGGCTTCCGTGTGTGTCCGCGGTTTGAAGTATCCTCTCAAAAGATTAAGTGGGAGAAGCAGGTGCAGTCGGGGATGAAGAGCAGGGAGGCAGACTCTGGCTGGGTTCTTGTAAACATCCATCGCAACTGTGAAAGGTCAGAAGCCAAGGCAAGGCCATGTGTGCGGTGCTGCGGGCGGGGGAGGTCCTCGGATGCCCCTGCCTTTCCCCTTGGGCAGGGGCAAAGGCCTTCTGGGCCTGCACTCTCAGTCTCAATCTCTCCGCCCCACCCTCCTGCGTCCGGACGGAAACCTCTCTGTTGGCACGGAGCTTTTGGGGGAAGAAGGCCTAGCGAGAAGGGAAAAGGGGTGTTACCAGCACGAAAGCACTGTCCTGCTGTCCGTCGCCCATTTGGTGGTGGCCTCAGGAGGCTGGGGCGGGGCAGGGAAGCCTTCCTCCAACCCTTGCATTCGGGAACCATCAGAAATCCCAGACGCAGGCTGGTCGTGTTGTCCTACAACTTCTATGAACGCTTTTTTAATGAATTTGCCTGATTTCTAAGGGCCCTGGACGGGACAGCCAGTGCAATTTTCACTTGGGAGAGGAAGGATGGTCCATTCCCGGGAGGGAGGAGGGGGATCCTGGTACCTGAGGAAGGAGGGCAGTGTGCTCAGGGGTCACCCAGGGCCTGCTGGCCAATCTGAGCCCCAGGGCTGCTGAGCAAGCTCGGGTAGTGGGCAGGGCTTGGCAGCACCACCCACCTTGCCCGGAAAATGCTTCGCAGGCTACCGGAAGGCTGTGGCCACAGCCAAGCTACTCAGCAGCCCCACTGCGCTGGTCCTCCAAGACATGGCATCACCCACGGTGCCTGGCCCCTCGGCTGGTCCCCATCTCCCATACCCTTCACTTTACGTGTCTAGCTGGGTGACAACGAAAAATGCACCCTCGCCCCATTTCCAAGGGGCGCCGAGGGGGCAGAACTGCTTCTACTGAGAACTATGCATCTCCCCAAGGTTCAGAGAAGCCAAGTGACCTGAGTCACACAACTGTGACAGGCAGAGCTGCCACTGGACTGGTGGCAAAGGTAGAAACCATCATAATAAGGCAGCTGCCACCCCCTGAGCTTTTACTATGTGCCACGAGCCCCAGGCAGAGGCTGCGGGTGCCTTGCTCCGTTCCTTCCGCTCACCCCTCCAGGGCATGCCGACCTGGCAGCTTCCACCTGCAGGGACCTGCCTCCAAAGCCTGCCTGGCCCCCAGGCCGCAAGTGCAGGCAGAGCCAATGTCTCCCGAGAGCTGCCTTCCAACCAGTGATGACCAGGAAGGCGGGGGGTCAATACCCCAGCTCCTGCACCCTGCAGCTGAGTCTCCACCTACCCTGGTCCCCGGAGTTCCTGAGCAGGACTGAGCAGGGCTGCAGTGGTGACCTACTGGATGACAGAACCCTTTCCTGTCTCACCAACCCACTCCGTACTGGTAGTTCTGGGATCACCTCCCGAATACACGACTTGCACTTGAACCTTGGTTCTGGGGTCTGCTCCTGGGAGAGCAGACCTGAGACAGAGCAGTACCTGTATCATGTCATTCAGCCCTCCTAAAACTCCTGGAACGACACATTATTATGAGTCCAGTTTACAGACAAAGACACTAAGGTTCAGACACAGTAAGTAACTTGTCCAGGATGCTCAGTTCTCCAGGCTTTCGTTCCACTGGAGATTTTCAGCACTACCTAATTTCATACCTCCTGCATGCCAGGTCCTGAGCTGGGTGCTGGGGACCCCGCGATAAATGCGGCCATGCTTTTGAGACACAATCTGGTGAGCAATCGCAGCCCAAGGTAAGACACCCGACAGGAGGGAGCACAGGGGACGGATGGAGCCCAGAGCCCAGGCAAGGCTGTGCCATGAAGAGCATGCCAGATAGGGGGCAGGCTGGTGACAAGGGCACAGCAGGCCCTAGAACCCCCTAGAGTTTGGTACAGGGAAGGAAGCAAGAAGGTAAACCATGGTGGACACACAGCTGGAGAGGGGAGGAGGGGCCAAGTCAGCCACGTTTCTTGTGCTATCTGCCAGATTCACCTTCTAGAGGCCAGCTGGGAACACATCCTTTCACTGCTGAGACCCTCCCTGGCTCCCACTGATGACACAGGCCAAGTCCTTGCATCCTGGGGCCCCAACCCACTCCCCACTGGACCTGGCACGAGGGGGAAGCCAGGGCTGAAGCCAGAGCACTCCCACCAGGAATCCCCCTTCTGCTGACCTCCCTCCAAGGAACTCCTAGGGTTCCCTGTGGTGCCGGTGGTGGTGCTCCCCAGAGCAGGGCTCACTCTAGAGATCTCCAAAGCAGGGGTTCATACTTAAGCCCACTTCAGACTTGTGTGGACTGGGTGTCAGAGAGCACAGAATCACCCCCAGCATGGGGACCCACTCCTCTCCCAATCTCGGTGTCTGCCACAAGCACAGAGTCCAGATAAGCGTCAGTCTGGCTGGAACGTGTCTCCGACACATGCCAATCTCCCATCTGACCAGGTCCAGGGCCCCACAGGCGCCGGCTCTAGCTGGATCCACTACTGTTCTCTGTTTTCACCGCGCTATCTGCAGGGTCACCTTCTATTTATGGCAAGTGATGCCAGGTTTCCACTTCTGATAGTAATAGAAAGTTCCTGTCCTTCCAGAGCATCGCTTCACTTTAAAAAGAGCTCGTTTAAAGAAAACAAGGACACAAATGAGAATTCAAACAAGAGAGCAGAAATTGCTGACAGTGTCATATGGGGTTTCGGAAACCCCGATCAGGGTTGGTCCCACTCCTTCCACAAAGGGCCCAGACAGGCCGGAGACCTGCCCTAAGTCACAGAACAAGGTGAGGACTGCCCCGGTCTCTGTGTCCTTGGCTGGAGGATGTCCTGAGACCACTCATCTGTGCCACCCACTGTGGCTGTTAATCAGTCCCCTTGCTCCTTAACTTGCAAGTCTGGCCTCACAGCAAACCCCCCAATGAGAATCTTGAGAATCTCAGTAACAGGCGGTATTTCTCCAGCACTCTACACTTACCTTGTACTATCTGCTTTAACTCTTGTCCTAGCTCATGTATTCCTCAGAACAACCCTGGGTGGCGGGGGGGTGGGGGGGTGGCCAAGCAGGCTCATCGGGAATTTCAGATGGGGCTCAGAGAGGCTTCAGTACATTGTTCAAGGCCACACAGCTTGCAAAGGGCAGAGGCGGGATTTGAACCTCCGTGGTCTGATCTTTGGTTCATCTCTTTCCTCCCAGGCATCCTGGAGATGCTACAGCTTGCAGAATCCAAAGCAGTGGGCTCTCCGACCTTCTAATATCATTACAGCATGACAGACAATTCATTAGCCGTTGGCTTTTTTTTTCCTTCTTCTTTCTTTCTGAAACTGTAACCTTTCATTCCAGGCTACTCCCGAGAGCTGGACAGAGGAAGTGGCCGGCTGACTCATTTCTGTCATTAAAGAATGACAGCTGGGCACTTGATCCATTTTAAGCAGCAGCGTCTCGGCTCACTCCCTCCGGGGAGAGTGCCTAGTTTGGGATCAGCCCTTGTGTCTGAGGGGTGCTGTCGGGCGATGCTCTGGACAGAGAATCTTGCCTTCCCACGGTCCTCCTGGGGGGCAGTCAGGGCAAGGCCTATCTGTGGGAATCCTGGCTCTGTCCCTTCCTCGCCATGTGACCTCAGGCAAGTTATCTCTCTGGGCCTATTTTCTTCATCTGAAACAGGAGAATGGTACCCACCTCATTGGGATGTTTGTTGTGAGGATGACATGAAGTCACGTCAGTGGAGTGTCTATAATACACGAGGCCTCAGCACGCAGTGGTCCCTCCCCTCCTTCCCACCTGTTCCCAGCTAGCAAACACACCAGGCAGGGGGCCTCCTCAGTGCTGGAGGGCCTTCTGAAAACAGTAGCCCTGTCGCCCTCCAAAGACCTTGTGTGCTGGAAACCCATTGCTCGCTCCTCTTTCCCATGCACCAACCGACCAATTCAAGTGGCTAAAGACAGATGTTACCCAGGGCCAACTGGGTGTCCACCGTGGTCTCAGTGACGGGCTGTGTGCAGGACCTCTGCCTCAGCTAGTCCAAGAGTTCACGGCTGGAGGGGGATGGGAAAGGAGATGCTGCCTGGCTGCCTGCGTCCCTGATGGAAGTCAGTGTTCTGGAGGAACAAGGATTGGTTTCTCAAACCCGGATTCGGCTTTACATGTCAGCTGCTGACCCTCACCAGCTATGGGTTTGTGAAGATTCTTGGTTCAGAACGTGTCTCCAGCTGGTCGGTGCCTCAGACTTAGTGAGGCCCTTCTGAAGGGTCAGCGTTGGCCCAGGCAATGATTTATTTATTATCTTCAATCAAGGCACCTTTTTTTTTTTTTGATCATCAAATTTTTAAAAGGAACCTTTATGTCACTATCATGAATAAATAAAAAACAGAATCATTTCGGGATGCCTGGGTGGCTCAGTCGGTGAAGCGTCCACCTTCGTTCGGCTCAGGTCATCATCTCAGGGTCCTGGGATCAAGTCCCGCATTGGGCTCTCTGCTCAGTGGGGAGTCTGCTTCTCCCTCTCCCTCTGTGCCCCTCCCCTCCGCTCATGCTCTCTCTCTCTCAAATAATAAAATCTTAAAAAAAAAAAAAGAACCACAACAGAATCATTTGTCATAAACAGAAGGCAACGCTAAAAACAAATATGATGAAAATGAAACCATTAGCTCTAGCCAGATACCGCTGGCCTGCAAGACTGAGCCCGGGTCTGGTTTCTCTGGTCAAAGGGAGAAGTAGCAGGTGCCCAAGAGTGGCAGGGCACCGAGAGCCTGGCCACACTCTGCTTCGGGGGCCTCACCTGTACCAGAGGACCTCACTCGAGGAAGCACTGGGAACGTGGCTAGGAGGCCCAACTGACCACCTCATAGCTGGGTATCCGGGATGAGTCACTGAACGTCCGCAAGCCTCAGTTTCCCTCCCTGTATAAGGGAGCTAATGAGCCCTGCCCTTCCTGCTTCGTGGATAATGTGGATGATGCTTTGGGGCAGCTAGGAGATGTGGGAGAGGAAGTTATTTTTAACCACCCAGCCAATTCCCCTGCCAGGAAGGAATCCCAGGAATGAGGCCTTCCCCGTCCAGGGGTGCCCGGAACTAGAGCTTGCTCCCAGCCCCTCCCCAGGCGGGGAGCAGGGAATGGCAGCCGTGATGGCACCAATGGCACCAGCATCCCCTGGACTCACTGGGTACCAGTTATCATCACCCTGGGCTGCTTCAAAAAACAGAGCTGAGGTCCCAGATCCCATCCCAGATCACCCTTTGCCTTAAAGGCACAGCCACATCCTCCCTGGTAATGGG